AATGAGAGAAAATGTAGAAACCAAGTTTTTGTTTATACTTCACAGCTGATATAGAAAGATCTTTATATAAATAATTAATTAAATAAATTCGTAGTAGTGTGAATCGTTTTAATTGTTATGGTATGTTGAAATAACATGAAGAAATTAATCATATTTTTAGTATAGAGTTGTGAAGATTGACGAATATCATAACTCCAATCGATATTCCAAATGATATTGTGTAACATTAACACATTTGGATGCTGGCTCAGTTGTCTAGAGGTTAAGAGATTGTGAGTGAGGCCGAAGGACTTGGGTACGACGTCATATGTGCTTTCTGCCGAGAAATCTCATACTAGGATAAAATGTCCATCTAGTACTTCCAGGTTTTCAATAATGGTCTAACTTAGACCGTGTCATAGTTTTATTAATCGAATTCCAAAAAATAATCGCTAACTGGTATATATATATATAAGCTTAGTTGTTTAATATAACTTGATTCATATCAGTATTAATCAAGTATATCTTTGTATAACAATCTTTGAGCTGTATACTGTATGAATATTTTAGTGATACCATTCGAGTACACAAACCGAAGTAAGTAGAAAGCTAAATTTTGAACTCTCTACTCAGTAGTTGGGAGTTGAGTGCTATTCACCATAAAGTCAAAGTTGAACAAATGCTACTATATCAAAATCTATGCATTTTAAGTTCATCAGTCAATTTTCTATAGAATTAATGATTATAAGAATGACAAAAACACATTATAATTTGAATAAGTGTTTAGTAATAAAATTTATGATCAATTTTTCATTCAGCGCAGCGAATAGTGTACTGATCCATAAAAGAAGAGTTGCTAGTTTAAAGTCTAAATCCAAATATTAACAACGGAATGTAGATACATTGAACTAACGAGTTTCAAATATAATGAAGTGTTTATCCTATGGTCTAATGTTTACTACTATAGAGACCATGTAAAATGAGTGTAGAAAATTTTGTTTTGTCTATACATTCATATAATTTACAAATTCAGAGAGATAAGTATCTTTCTAAAATATGTATCAACATTTTATTATTTTTTTTAAAAAAACGTCAATTTCTGTGTGTTTACCAGTAACATACAAAACTGGAGTAGAAATTTTACTTCATTGAGAGGTTTGTAAACCTAAATGCAGAATGTTTAAAAGATATACATACAAAATTAAGAAACCACCGTTGATTAACAAAAATTATGAACCTAGAGAACTACGAAAGTCATCATCCAGAAGATACAGTTGTTTATTAACAGTTGTCTACACAAAATACTTCAGATCCGTTGGCCGGACACTATTAGCAACAACCTACTGTAGGAAAGAACAAACCAGATCCCAGAGGAGGAAGAAATTAGGAAGAAGCGCTGGAAGTGGATAGGACACACATTGAGGAAAGCACCCAACTGCGTCACAGGACAAGCCCTCACATGGAATCCTCAAGGCCAAAGGAAAAGAGGAAGGCCAAAGAACACATTACACCGGGAAATGGAAATAAACATGAGGAAAATGAACAAGAATTGGATGGAATTAGAAAAGAAGGCCCAGGACAGAGTGGGTTGGAGAATGCTGGTCGGCGGCCAATGTTCCATTAGGAGTAACAGGCGTAAGTAAGTAAGAAAGTACTGACAGAGCAATAGGCCTATCCAGTTGAGAAAAAACACTTCTAAATGTATATAACTTTATTGCATATTGTTTCTGGTATCATTCAAATGTAGTAGATTACAGAAAACTTAACTTTTGCAATTAGCAGAATGTTTCAACTTTATATATAATTTTTCCAGCAAATTCATACTACTTATTACTAATATTTCAGTAGTTACGTTCTTTTTGCTAAATACTGTGTGTCTAATACAGTTTGATATTGTCAGCATAAAATTCCTCAACAAAAATATTTGTAAACAAAATAAAGAAGTGAATAAAATCGTATTAAATTCATTGAAATCTCTTTAAAAGAAAATAACAATCTTCACAATAATGAATACATATGTACATGTTCAAAAAACTAATTGTTTGGTTTGATCATAATTTATAAAAATTTTCCTGTATTGTCTCTTTCTTAGATACAGTTGTGTATAGTATTTTGTGTATCTGAATTAGAATGCCACAGTCTCACTGTACCAGAGGATATGTGTATATATGAGGAGAAACTGTAAATATAGTGAGTGATTTATATTTAACGAGATAATGCTTGACATTTATTTACTGGATTTTAGGCTTCTATCCACGAACTTATTCATCATAATCACGTGAAAAGATCCACCACATTTACCCTACTAACTACTGTCAATACGTTACACAACACAGAGAAATCAAGTAGAGGAAAAATACTGATAGGAAACAATATAGGATAACAGATAATAAACAAAATAAAAACTCACTTTAAATAATTAACAAATTATGAGATGATTAGGTTGTGACATAAACTATCATTGATGAAGATCAAAATGACTTAATTATTTATGTTCCATAATTAAATATTGAACTAACTCCTATAAATCATTCATAAATATAGAATCCTCATTTCTATAACGTTTTCCAGCTACATTGGCTAATTAGTGCAGTAATTCATAAAATTAGTCAAATGATTTTCAGAATACTGTACAGTGTTATTAATATTCAAGGGATAAGTAAGAGAAAAGTTATTGTTTAAACTTCTCATGAAAGAAATAGTAAAGCCTTCTTTGTTTCAAAATCTATGCAAATTTCAGTACGGCAATGTTAACAATTATTTCATTAGTGATTTAATACAATCTAGTTTCATGGCTTAAGGGCCTGAATGATAAACTGTCCATTATATTATTTAATCAGTTCATGGTCAATCTCCTCCCTGATTGACATGCATCTTCTCTTATTTCCTTACTGAATAAACTAACGTTTCCGGTCAAATCATATACTGATGTGACTTCATATCTGATTCTATTCATATACAGACCAAAATAAAAGACAAATGAAAGTAATGCTCAATAGAAAACAACATGAATAATTATTTGCAGGATTAGCCTGACTGGAATTAGTTGCGTATTGCTTAAAAACCACTTGGGAATATAAAATTTTGTTTTTAAAAAATTAAAGGTTATCAATAGAGTTTCGTTAATGGAAAAGTACTTCTGTCAATTGAAGTTACTGGAACACTAGTTTATTTAATTAAAAACTATTTCTACTGTACAATCATAAATGATAGTTGGTAACTTAGTAGCTACATAAGAAGCAGTGAGTTCATTAACAATTATACGGGTGTCACCCAGAGCTTAAGTAAGTTATAAGTCTTATATAAAAACGATTAGACGTTGATTACCTAGTCGCTACCTACTCTGCAAACAGAGAAAAAAAAGAGAAGTGACATCACTTCGATAGGTAGATTACGTGGAAGTCACTAACAAGAGTATAATGTTAGAACTTTAGAAGCTTCTAGAAAACATGCCAAAACTGGTAGTAAACTCGTTAACTTAAGCTGTTTTCTAAATTTTCTTGAGAGTTCCCAAAGAGTACATATTGGTTTATTTATCTCTAACATCATGCTTTCTGCAGAATTTTATTGGCAGTTATTGAGGAATTTTAACAAGAAATTTATCGCAGTTTCCATTATTAACAGTTTTGTGCAGAAAAAAAACTGGCCTGATGTCTACTCAACTTAATGAACTTACCTTGATGGTTCGATAAATTAGGGGATATTACCATTTCACCACAAAAAAGCGCAATGGTAAAGATTAAAAAGCTGTTAAATGGTGTTTCGATCTTTCGTAACTTTTGTTCAAAATATGCTTGTAACAGAAAGATTACGGGCAGTTTTAATAGCTTGTCACCTTAAATAGAAAGTTTTTATTATCCTGCTCTAATCTACTTCGGATTAAATAGAAAGATTTTGAAAAAACTTGAAACTAAGCAAAATTTCAAATTATTAAATAATATCACAAGTTTGTTAATTATCCACGCTTACAATCGGCTTTCGGAGAGGTTATAATTTACTGACGACCTCTAAACGATAATAAAATAACTTGGAGAAACTTCGGCCATTTACTAGATTTAAAGAAAGATTGTAAATTGGTATGAGGAAACGAGATTAGATGTTAGAGTTTAATGATAGGGTTAGGAATTAGAGATAGAGTTTCATCACGAACTAACACCAGCGATAATGTCAGGATGGTATTTAGCCTTTTAAATTAATGAATCTTATTGGTTCGTCCAAAAATTATGGTCCTAATTAATTTTCACTGATTGGACACCGAAAGTAATATTTCTAATGCTAAAACCTTGTCTGAAAGCGATATAACGGACACAAATATGAAAATATTTAGTGACACTTGATAACAGATGCGTAGTGAAACCAGTAGGATAAATATAATTTAATCACTAGATAGTACACTCAATCGATACGGCACTGAATCGATCATCATACTAGGCCACATGATATAGGCCAAACGATAGTTCATTAACACATGTACAAATAGTCAACACAGAGCAAATGAATAGTAGAAATCAACCATTTCAATATAAAAATAGTCCATAGATTTTTCGCTTAATAACAAATCATGACTCAGTTTCTCGTGACACATCAGGAAGCAAAGAAACTATCAAGCAGTGATGTAATCAGTAGCATGACAATGAAAATAAGGAACTGCAATCTCTGCATTCAGTCCAGTTTAAAGTATATTTAGTAGTAGCTACCGTAGAGTTACACAATACAGTAGTATATTTTGTGTGTTTACTTTTCTGAAATTCGAAAGTAATAATGTAGTGCAGATATTATGACTAAACTACTGAGCAATAAAAGTTAAAATCGACCGAAGTAATATGAATTTTCTGAAGCTCTAAATTAGCTTATTTATTAACTGTCAAGAGGTCTGAAACTTATGTTCACAGAGGTCTATCAGTCACTTTGAAAGATCAGCTTTATATTAAAGATCATTAATGAACGAAAGAAAAAATGAACTTTTTTTACAAAAGAAATCGTTAATTTCAATTAATTAAGTACAAAATGTAATAACTTACATTATGGATTGTACTACTTAATACCGATCGTTGTTTTTTTGACTTTTTCATAGTTGAACATAAATCATCTTCATCTGAATATTCAGAAGGTTTCTTCGGTTTGTTCTCCTTTTGTAATAAATGTGTAAAATGTTCAGGTCTACATAAATTTGGTCGATTAGTACTATTATTGTTGTTATTATTTATTTTGTTTAAATGTTTCGATTCAATGCCAAACTTTCTGGATTGATGTGAATTTAAAAATCTAGTTCGCTTATACTGATGTTGTAAAGATTTTCGTCTTAAAAATTCATAATGTGCAATTTTATCATATTTTGCTTGAATTTCAGCTTCATTTATTGCTTTCATAAGAGAAGCTTCTTTCACTGGCTGTTGAGCACATAAATAATAATAATGTTTCAGTACTTCTGGATTAGGTTCAGGTAGGTTAAATTTATCATTATATGGTGAATTATTTATTCCTTCTACTTCTATAATATGAGCGTCATGACGATTAAGTGGTTCCCACCAACACAATGATGAGCTTGTAGATTTAGGTATTTTCAAACTGTTTGATTTACTTGTTGTAATACTATTACGTAGTAACGAAGATTGACGAATTCTCATTTGATTCGTTTTAGGTGAATGTGTTAGTTTTGGACTTGAAGGTAATTGTAAACGGGGTATATTCGGTTTGTTAGCTTGCTTTTTATTTGTCATAAAACTGTCGTTTTTATACTCAATACTTATTTTTTCTAATTCCGAAGACGTACTGTCACTGTATGATAATTTACCAACTTCAGAATCATTGTGTCTAAGTCTTCGCTGTTGTGAATTACAGTCACCTGTAAATCTATGAACTTCAGAATTTTTAAGAATACGTGTACACGCTGTTGAAGGAATGTAGATTGGTAGAGGTGAACTGAATGGTTTCAACTTCTGTTCCATATCGTCTGTATTTATAACTGTTGGGGAGTCTTGTCTGTATGTTAACATTTTAGATGATGCTGTGAATTCGCCAATACAATTAGAATTGTTTGGTGGAGATGACGTAATTAAATCATCTTTAACTAAATCATACGAAAGACTTGGAGGTGAAAGAGACATTTCTCTTAAATAAACAGGTTTCTGAGGATAGTTGTATGAATGAGTGAAAGTAGTATTATTTGCTGGAGGTAAATCTATACTTGATTTCCACTGATAGTCTCTTTGACGTGGAGTATCTGGTGTAGCTGAGCCAACTCCAATACCTCTGAAATCATTCAAAATATTTGACTTGAAATCAAATTTTGTTTGATACTGATTAGAAACCTTTTCTTCAGATGGTTCCTGTTGGATAGTTAGTTCTTCATGAAAATTTGAGGGTTGAATCTCTTCATTTACGACAGACTTATGATTTATTGATGTAATGCCAAACGCATCATCACATTCTCCCGTATTCTTATCATTTTCACTGACATATTTAGGTGGAGATAAAGTTGCTGTCGATAATTGTGGTAGCGATGACGTAAAATTTTGTGGAAGCAACATAATCTGTTTTGTATCTAACGATTCATGTGCGATTGCAGATCTAGCCCGATTTAAAATATCTGCGACTAAGTCGCGTGACGTCTTCTCAAGATTATCTTCAAATTCCAATACATCCTGATTATTTTCATCTTGTTCCACAGAAAGATTTTTTACTTTTGTCATTTCTATCAATATATGTCACAGAAAAAGATCGTTTGATGTATCTTATTAAAAGAAAAAACAATCATATAGTAAAATTATTATACGACGACCAAAAGCAAACTGTTTTTCTGTTCCATAACCATTTTAAACATTAAATGAAAACAAAAGGTTTATTTATGACAGAATATTTTAGAAATGTTTGTATTATCAAAATACAAATTGACTTGAAAATCACCAAATCAATTTAATTCAGAACTACTTTAATGTTATTTATCATTTAAATAACTAACCAATTGTAAATGCATGGTAATGGGTATACATACTTGAATAAATATAAGTGATTTTTCTTAGAAAACTACAATATCAAACAGTTTGTGAAACTTATATGTAATTTTATGATATGAAAATGATTTGATCTATCGAAATGTTACTTGTATAGAAGGTATAAATAGAAACGGTAAGTAATTTTCTGAAATTAATTATATTACTTAAAACAACTTAGTAGCATGTGGAATATTTTATTACACCGAAATATTGATTTATAGAAAGATTTTTGCCAATACTAGCAATTATAACTCTTTCGAACTTTTATTGTGTAACCTAAGTAGAATGTCGTTTCAAAATACAGTTCCTGCTGAGTAAATCTAGCCTATAGTAAAGATATAGGACTTGCAATATCAGTCCTTGGTAAAATTCTTTGTGTATTTTTCGGACTTGATAATAAATTCATTTTGTGAACTTATCAAACAAGTTTTTAAATACAAAATGATATGAATAATGACAAAGTAATGGAAAAAGAATGATTGGAAATTAGTAGTAAAGAACACCACTTAATGATCTCAGTAATAAAAGCGTGCTTCATAGACAAGTAACTGGTTTAACCTGTTCAAAATGAACTTTTTCAATAATAATAAAGCCAAACAGTTTTAAACCGAGATTCAGGATTACTCAGGTTACAAAAATTAGACTAGTTTTTGTAAGTCTAATGTTGTTAACCAAGTTTACCTTCGGATATAAATTAGTTATTCAGGTTTCTTGTAGAGTTTTTGTGAATAATACAGTCTAGAATGAGGAAGAAAATTCGAAATTAAAACCGGTTATCAGCGAGAATATAATAAAAACAACAACAATCAGCCGAATTATAAATTTTTTATTACGGATAATTTTTTCGAACTGGTGATAGGTCTATTCTATCGATTCTACTTTTCTTTACGATAAGTGATAAAACGAGTTGATAATTAGAATTATTTTGTTGAATAAGTTGAAAAGTGATTTCAAACTAGCTAGGGAATACTAAGGACAAATTTAAGTCTGGTGCTATTTATCTCATGAATAGGTTAGTTGGATGTTTACGCGGTTTTTTGTCGATTATCCAGTCAAGTTTATAAATTTTGTAACGATGATTTTAATATTTTAAAGTGATTGTTTTTTTCGGATAGTATCTTGTCGATAACAAAAAGTGATATTGGGCGGCCACTCGTAACTAAAATTTAGATTAACAGACCTGATAATTTGGTGATGATACTGAACAAAGATATTTGAAGACAGTTTACTAAGGAATGCTAACCACCTAGAGACATATTTAACAACTTGAGCCCGAATATTGAGTGGTAACACTCGATACTTCTGAATCTCTATGCTGTTTACATTCAGATTTGATGTAATTATCGAGAATTTTTTTTTAAATTTGATACGGTCTCAACAAACTAGTTACCAGAATGAAGATTTGCCCAATAAAATCGATTAGCTGATTAGTTTTGCTGTCGGTAATCGACTGTTTTCGATGGTATTAGTTCTTTACAATAAGTATCTAGTGTGTGGTATAATATTTTTTTATTTGAATAAAAATTGAAAAATCGACCTAATTGAGGGATAATTATCAGATATATCAATAAGGCAATATCTCATGTTATAAATCAGATTGAACTACGTAGTTAATTCTGGTCAAACTTATGCACGTAGAAAAAACGTTACTTTGTTATGAGCGTCTATTTTCATCTTGACAGCAGCACCCTGTCCATAATGACTTCCAGAGCTCAGGTTTTCTTGGACGACATGAGATAAAAATGTTCTGTTTTCTACGTAAATGATTCAAGGGAATCCAGGGAAGTTACTGTAAAGCTCCAAATTTTTCTAAAGTCTATGTTTTGAATTGTGCATTTAAAGATGCAGTAATAATACATATACTTACTGATATGAAACTTGTAGGACATAGATGAAGGTATGAAAGCACAAAGGCTCGTTGGTTTTTTGGATTAAAAGCATTACAGAGTTCTGTAAGTACTACTGTACCAATGTATCGCGATAAATCCGTACCACGAGTTGCGTATATTACTCAAAATAAGCCGTTTTAGTGACAATATGTTTCTCAACTAATCAAATAATGGATATAACTACAAAATACTCTATGAGCACAGAAAACCAGTCACTCAAATCTAATAATGCTTAGACAATCACTAAACTGACATATACACCATAAGTTACGTAGGTCGTTAAAATACTAACTTGCAGCACCAGTCACTATTTAAACAATTTCTGACATGACTTGCACAAATTCATAGGACAGAGCTTATTATATTGTCTTTATATACCGACCTCACCACTCAAAAGTACTAAGTATATATTATATTGGAATGTCTTAATTTTAGTTTGCCAGATCATACTATTATTTAGGTATTCATTAATTTTTCAATGTCGTCACTATAAATGGATATTATAATTGTTTGCTATTTAGACTGCGTTATTGTTTCCTAGATGGAAAAATTAGTTTTCAGATAAATGACAAAAATAAATAAAATTTAAACCAAAAGTTTTAAAATAGATGTTCGATTGGATTAGAACGGAAAACTTAGAAAGATGACTATCGGATCGGTAACTGGCAGGTGGTAGTTCCCTAAGTCATTTACGTGATTGATGGTCACTTCTCTTATGATAAGATGACCTATACTGAATTTTCACCAACATTCGTATCTATGTGCTTATATTTTGATCGTAAATTCGAATATTTGAATGTCATGTTTCACGTCAATGCATTATCTTACTCACTATCCTTGAATAAGAACTTTCTTCTAAATTTGATCGAACGTTTTCACAATACTTCGGCGTCGAGTTGATATGAGACATAAAAGAGGAAGAATGTATTTGTAACATCTCAGGAAATGGATTTGAAGTGAATTCAACGTTTCCCTTAACAGTTTGGTTTAAGCTTTTTTAAGGAAATATAATCAAACATCAAAATTATCGAATATGAATAGGTACATAGTTCTCCGGTACACTGTATACTGAATAGGTCATCCAATCAATGTTAACAATGTTTTAGGTAGGCATTTGTATTAGGGTGTGAGGGACATGTGGTGTGAAACAAAAAGTGTTAAGATAAAATATTGTGTGTACACGTAAGTGCAAGGAAATTTCACTCACTATATATTGTCTCTGGTCGGTAAATTTTAAGAAAACCTATAATTTTTCTAAATGATATGAATCAAAAATGTCACAGCATGCATAAAATGAAGATACATAAACATGATCAAAGAATGAATTCAGAGAGGAATAATGTATTTGTAATTGAAAGTTTGTGTTATTTTAATGTTCCAGTTAATTAATTAACATATTCAGGTAAGACAACTGAATAAAACCATTTAATGTAAGTGCTGTTATTCAGGTAATACCAGATAGATAAAATGGAATAAGGATTTCAGGTTTACTTATTAATTATTAGTTGTCATTGAACGACCAATTGTATTCCATCTCTCACATTGATACTGTTTAGATTTACCCATATGTGTAGGGCTTCGGCTGTCAGTCTCTCTTTGTAAGAATTAAAGCCTTTTTGAAGGATTCTTGTACCATTAAAATCAATTGCATGACCCGATTCTATCGGGTGTAATGCTATCGCTGATTTTTTTCTCGAGTTTTCTTGCATCATCTGAGGATTTAGGAATGTGCTTTAAGGATAGTTTGTGTTCCTTCACCCTCACATTCAGTTACCTTGATGTTTGACCTACATACACTGCATTACAATCACTACATTTGATTTCATAAACACAATTATGTTGTTCTTCATTGCGTATCGGACCTTAAGGTCCGAAACGAATACCAAGCTCTCAATTTTAGGGAAAATTTGACCCATTCTGAGGAAATTTTAGGGAAGCCACTATAGCAAACTTTGGGGAAATGGCACAAAATCCCAAAAATCTCCCCAAACGTTGGGAGATTGATATTTTTCTCACTAGTTCTGATCTTAGAGTATTGTTTGTACGAAAGAATGCCTTTCCTAACATCAGTTGGGTAAAAACTAGAAATCAAGCAAAGGCTGGTTAACATTCTCGAAATCTGAATAAATCTTCACTGTACAGTGAAAAGTTCTGAAGCGTTTTGAAGAGGAACCGCAAGCCAGTGAAAATCTTTTAGTTTAAATAACTTTTTTGAAATTTCCACAAAACTTGTTGACGAGACTTCCGAAAACCAGCCCAAAGATGACGAAATTTTTTCTAAAGTAAGGAGATTGGAATTATGAATACTTTTTTCTTTCAAGAACTAAACATTTTCCAAACTTCTAAACTACCTAAAGACATTGAGACACTGAAAAACTTAAAATCAGCTATAATGAAATTAAAATGCTATCTTGAAAACACTTTTTAACCCTGCATATAGTGACAACAAACCTTGCGGTATTTAAAGTACGTTGCTAGAAATGCATTATATGAAGTAGTAAAACAAAACTAAATGAGGCTGACTTAACCAAAGTTAGAAATGACGAAGAGTTCCTGTTATTAACTAATTCTCTCTATGTTGCAATAAAAATTGAATTAAATAGGCATAATTGCACTGATATCCTTAATTTTGTGAGTACCATGAAGATATATTGTGACACATGGTATCCAAGACCATCCGCCAGAGTACTAATAATAAAGAGGTCAGTATAATTTAATTAATGACAGTCACCACTTTCAACATATATTAGCTTTGCCTACCCTCCCAAACGTACAGCTCTTGACAACGTTGTTACTTGTGGTGCATTTTTATTCGAGGTTTTTAAAGCAGGTTGAACAATGTGTCAGAAATCGAGAGGTTATGAAAATATTTGAGGAATAGTTGGTGTGTTGATAAGTTTATAATCTAAGCTAACTCGCTGTTGTGAGGAATGGTCAATGCGGCGTTCCTGAATGTGATTTGGTGTTGACGCTCAATCAAGCATCTCCAGTTAAGGGTTTGTTTAGCAAAAATAATGAGGTCAGCCTTAATGTCAAAGACTTGCAAAACTATTTCGGCTGGGGGTGTATTTGCATCTGTATTTACGTGAACAAGTTCAGATCATCTGTGAAACCATAATTTTCAAGAAAAGCGAATATTCTACTACCTAAAATCACCAACTGCGGTTATAAAGACCTATTTCAGGTCAACAACATTAAGTAAATGATACGGAATTAACCTATGTAACAAATAGGCACTCAGGCACTGAGAAAAAAAGTCTGTTCGAAACTGATATGCAATAAACTAAACAAAAACAAATCTTCATCACGACTGAGTTGTCCGACTACCGCTGTTCTTTCATCTCTTTAGGCCCACATTCATTTCAATAATAATCTTGAAAGACCTGTAAATGAAATCTGAATAACATTGATCTTAGTAAATGGTAGACACATGAGAAAATTCTTGTAAATATCTTGGAAATGAACTGTTAGTTTGGGTGACGATAGGGGCCTTGACCAACAGGAAAGTTGACCGTCAAATAGAAATTCACTGGAAATATGACTTTTGAGATGAATGGAAGTCTACATTTCACTAGTGAGAGTGAACCAATTAAGGAGAATTTAACTATTTTGCGATAGTTAAACCTTTACTTCCGGTGTCAGATGATCCATCTTCTAACGCACAATTTCATAAATTACAATACAAACCTCAATGATCAACGAACACGACGAGATGTCCATGGAGTGTGATAGCCTCTCTAAATGAACATGTTCAAGTAAATTCGTGTTAACCACAACAACTGAAAGACTACTGTGTGAAAAATATTTTTGCTCCATTTTTTCACTCGTTTTTCGGATGCTGTAGTATCTGCGTCAAAAAAAACAAAAGCAATGTAGATTTTAACTTTTCTGTAGTAAACACCAAATAAAATAAGTCTTTATGCTTGGTTTATATTTTTCTTAATCTCAAGGTATATATATGTACGCGCACCTATTGTTTTAACATTTTGCTCCTCTCAGGTGCATAACCATAATGCTTTACAACATTTATATTTATTTTTCCCGATTGTCCTGTAAACCGACTGTAAATGATGATGAAATTGAGGGAGAAATCGGATTATTCAGTTGTCGTGCTGCTCATCCCTTGCAACTACTGGCCGGCTTAGACCAAACGCTCCTCAGTATATCAGTAGCTTTCTGAATATGTCGTCGGACCCCTTTAGTTCTGACTTCTGATTTGACTGGGTTGTTATACGTCGATCATAAAGGTGTTAAGTGTAAAGGCGATGTCAAACTCCGAATACCAGGAGCATCCTCAGACTCATATTATTGAACATCTATCCTATTTAACCTATTTAACTTCCCATATCTTCCGTCGGCAAATGACGTCAACAAAATGTAAAATACGAGTCACACTTAGGACATGCATATTTCAAACACCCATATGAGCAAGAAAACTGGACGAGTGCGCGTGGAAATTTGAAAGATTCAGATTCAGACTTCGACAGAGAATGATGCCGAAGCCACTCTTGTTGCAGCACGAAGCCACTTAAATAGGCTTTGGATCTGTTACACTGATGCCCAAGGCTTGCTTAATAAGCGGTCGGAACTAGGGGTGCAGATTGACTCTACAAAGCCAGATATAGTTTCAGTCGTAGAAACTTCACTGACCCAGCCTATAGATAGTATGGAACTTGATTTTGAGGGTTTTGCGCCAGTAAGAGTCGACAGAATCCGGAAGCCTAAAGTATGGGGAGTAGCTCTATCCATTAGGAATGCCGTCCCATTTGCCATTATCGATAGTGTATCCCACGATAGTGGGACGTGTGAATTAATTAGCTGCCGACTGAAGTACAAGGACAAGAACAGCTGATCGATCTAGTCTACCGCAGTCCAAGCTATGAGGTAAATGATGTCTTGCTAAATAGTCTCAATACTTGATTACAAAGTGGTCGATGTCTAATCCTGGAAGATTTCAATGGACCCATGTTAGAATGGGAAAATCTGCCAAATGAATCGTCAGATAATTCCTTCGAGCAGGAACTAGTTGATTCAGTTATCACATGTGCCTTAGTGCAACATGTAAAAGAAGCGACTAGGTACGACCCGGACTCTGAATCATCCTTACCAGACCTTAAATTGACCCATTATAAGGATAACGTTACGAACCTCGATTACATGGCACCTCTCTGTAAAAGTGATCATGCTGTTACAACTTTTGACTTCCATATAACTGTCAATCACGAGCACGCGTAAGCTTAATCCAGACCTAACCTCTCGAATGCAAATATACAAGATATTATGCACTCAGCATCGTCAGTTAATTGGATAGTAGAGTCAGAGTCTCCAACTGAAACAGCTTGGGATGCACTTCAAAATTTAAACTTGAAAGTTACTGCACCAAGGGATCTGAGAAACTTTTTACTATGGTTCAGTAGAGAGGTTCGCACCCTTCTCCGTAAGGGGAGAAAAATGTGATATTCTCAGGTTACTGGGTACTGATCAGATAAAATCTCGATATCGAAAGGCTAGGATCACTTGTGCCTGGACCCCCCATAAGTCTAGAATTCTGTGCGAAAAAAATGTTAAGGGATCCATAGAATACCCTAAACGCTTGTATCTTTATGTAAACCAAACGACAAAAAGAGGGGGAAAGTTTCCAACACTATGGGGGGACAGTAATTCTTCATCATTAGTGGAGGACAACTTTGGTAAAGCTCAGGCATTCTCAAATTACTTTAGCAATATATATTCTGTAGAAACACCCTTCTCGTCAGTCCATACAAATCCTTCCAAACAAACACTGGACAGCGTAACCATTAAAGAACTCGATGCCTTTGGTCTGCTAAATAACTAGACATAGGCGAACCTACGTGACCCGATGAACTGCATCCTAGGTTACTAAAGGAATAAGCTAGCCTCGTCGCGAACCTTTTAAGTATATTCTTTGACCTATCCGTAACCGAGGGTCGCTTACCGAAAAACTGGAAGAACGCCATAGAAAGTCCTGCCTTCAAAACATACGAAACATGAACCTGAGAACCATAGATCTGTTAGCCTAACTGTTGTAACGTGTGTGAGACTGCAGGTTTTTGATACGCAGCGTATTTATATCGATCGATTACAGTGGACACGTAAACACGTAGTGGACGACCTAGTGCCCCGATTGGCCCTGCCTCGCTGTCTGTCCTAGCCAGTTGAGTCAACAACACAAGTCACAGCCTCTGAGTTATGAATCGTTATATTTCAGACATACTTTATTTATATACCAAACAAACAAATCACATCGTACCATAAAATAGAAAACAACATTTACACAATATTTAAGAAGTGAAATAAACATCGACCAATAGGAAATGGACATTTAAGGTACAAGGCCACCATAGACTTAACACGATAATTATTGGTATATTTTTCCGACTATCCTAACACCTCCCCTTTTTTTGAACGATCCGGAGTTAATATCTGGATTTTAAAATTTTCTGCATCCTTCCTCTCCCGCGAAATAACGTTGGGTCCTCATATACCCAAGTAACAGTTAGTCTGACTCTATTTAAAGCATATTTCGCGCATTGAATAGAGGGTTCACTAAAACTGACTAGATGATGAGGATTAGCGACACCAGACATGAGGTCATTGAGGTTTGATTCTTGTGAAACATATTCATCAGACCTCTTCAAAATTCCATCAGTGGATAATAGGTCACTAAAATAAGCAGCATCTTTGAAATTCGTATTAGATTTCTGACCATTATTTGATCCACGGGAAACATTTTCTGGCACGAGGGGTTCTTCTTGTAAGCTGGATACCTCACATGTTTCAGGCACAGTGCAATTTGAACCCACAACAGGGCATGCTTCTGAGTTGGACAATTCTGGATCGCTGGACGGATCATGAGTGACTGCCACGTTTGCATTACTGATCATAAGGGATTCATAGAGGCTTTTGTTTTCATCTCCATATGTCCTGCAGTCATTCTCGAGTTCAGTATGCAAGTGAGAAATTAATTCGTCAATCTCTTTCACATCTCCGAAACATGGGAGATTTAGCAGTCGCGTGTGTAAATTGTCCAAAACATTCAACTGGCTCTCTCTGAAACGCTGCTGCTGGCGATCTAGTAGTAGTTTCAATTGATCGGGAAGGATAGTCATTTTCTGAGTCAGCAGGGTAATGAGAAATACTGTAATCAATAAACAACCAATGACTCCCAAGGACGCCGATGGCAAATCTGGATATTGATTGGTCAAAATAGACAGGCTGAATCTCGTCCAATTACAGGGTTCAAATTTTTCTCTACCCCGTCGCCAATTGTTGTAACGTGTGTGAGACTGCAAGTTTTTGATACGCAGCGTATTTATATCGAATATGTAAGTGAGAAATTAATTCATCAGTTCCTAACACTAACTAGTGTGGTTGGTAAAGTTTTAAAAAACTATTATTCAGCAGGAGCTGTTTAAGTATCCCGATGACTACCAGATCCCATCGGAAAAACAG